CCCATACAATGTGTAAAAACCTCCAAGGAGGAACCTTATAACGAAAGGTGAAATAGCCCCTAACAGCGCCAAAAGTGGAAGGAGATTATTTCACAATAAATTATGACATTCCACTCTATGCAGATTGCACACATTAGAATGGAGGAGGACATGAATCAAAGCAGAACCCATACAGTGTTAAAACCTCTAAGGAGGAACCTTATAACGAAAGGTGAAGTAGCCCCTAACAGTGCCAATAGTGGAAGAAGACTATTGCACAATAAGTTATGATATTCCACGCAATGCATGGATGAGGATGGCCATCGGGAAGGGCCTACCTGTCCAGCCCGTTGATTGGAGAAGGCCTCGACCAAGGCCTCCACGCCGTAGTCGGTCAGCATGGAGGTGTTGTAGATGAACTGCTCATAGCTGTACTCCTCGCCTCGGATCCGGAAGGTGTCCGGCATGAGCGGGTGCCAGTGGTAGAGCTGGTTGAACTCCACCGCGATGCGGTTGTGGTACTGGAACTGGGCCCCAAAGAGCAGCTCCGGGTCGAACTTCAGCTGCAGGTAGTAGCCGCTGAGGTGCTGGACGTAGTCCTCGATGACAATTTTGATGGTCTCCCCTGGGTGGAGAGTGGTCAGTATTGGTTGGTGGCCACCACGGCAGAGCCGCAGAAAAGCAAGTGGAGTCTGCGACATGCAAGTGTGGAGGAGATCCAACCACAGACCACCTACTACAATTCATCCTGAGACCTGCCACATGCACAATGGAGGACCTTCTCACAGCTACTCCAAGTGGCCAAAGGAAATTTAGTATAATGCCAAGGATTTGACTTTGTGTTTTGAAATACGTTACAACTTGCTTCTGACACGATAATTAAATAAATCTAGGAAAATGGAAGCGTGACTCTTGTGAAAACCTTGAAGTGACCTTTTTTGGCCCTCAAAGTGCAGGCCTTCCTCCCTCCCTTCCTTTCCCAGCTCACCGATGAGGATGAGCCTGGCGGTCTGGAAGAGCTGCTCGTCGTCCCAGGTGGGGTGCTCCTCCTTGAGGAGGGCGCAGACACGGTTGTGCTCCCGCAGCCAGAGCGTGGCAAACATCATGAGCCCCGGGAGCAGGCCAAAGACCTCCTGCCCCACCGCCAGGCGGGCCTCAGGCGGCACGTGCGCCGGGTAGATCATGTGCACTGGGGCCTCCACCACCGAGGGTGGGTACATCTCCCCCTTGACAATCTGCGAGGAGAGAGAAAGGGCAAGGGCGTGACACGGTCACTCGGCCACATCCTGCACAAGGTTACAGTCCTCATCAAGGAAACGGGGACAGGGGGGTTCGTTGCCTTGTAAGCTCACTGTAGCCTTAATTTTGCCTTAAGACAGGTAACCCTCACCTGAGCACACCGTAGCCCACCTGATCTGGATTTAAGACAGTTAACCCTCACCTGAGCTCACCATAGCCCACCTGATTTAGCCTTAAGACAGATAACCCTCACCTGATCAAAACTTAGCCTACCTCATCTGGCCTTAAAATAGGTAACCCTCACCTGAGCTCACTGTAGCCCACCTGATCTGTCCTTAGACAGGTAATGCTCACCTGAGCTCAGCGTAGCCCACCTCATCTGGCCTTGAGACAGGTAGCCTCACCTGAGCTCAGTGTAGCCCACCTGATCTGGCCTTAGGCAGGTAACCTTCTCCTGAACTCACTGTAGCCCACATGATCTAGCCTTAAGTCAGGTAATGCTCACCTGAGCTCACCATAGCCCACCTGATCTAGCCTTATGACAGGTAGCCCTCACCGATCAAAACTTAGCCCACCTGATCTGGCCTTAAAACAGGTAACCCTCCCCTGAACTCACTGTAGCCCACATGATCTAGCCTTAAGTCAGGTAATGCTCACCTGAGCTCACCATAGCCCATCTGACCTAGCCTTAAGACAGGTAACGCTCATCATAGCCCACTTGATCTAGCCTTAAGACAGGTAACCCTCACCTGAGCTCACCGTAGCCCACCTGATCTGGCCTTAAGACATGTAACTCTCACCTGATCAAACCTTAGTCCACCCTGGTCTTAAGCCTTGCATATTTTAGCCATATAAATGCCACAGATCCTGCCTTACAAACGTAAATCTCACCTGATCTTGCCCTGGTCTGAAGCCTTGCTTGCTTTACAGAGAGGTATGATGACAATATGTTTTTCCTACCTGGTACTTGAGCATCCCGTCCCGAAAGAGTCGGAGCTGGTGCTGCCGCTCCAGGTTGTCTCCGTAAATGTGCCCCAGATCCACCTGCAGAAAAGGATTGGCATGAACCTCCGAGGGAAGTCTATTCTACGAGCTCTCTATCGTAGTTATCTCTTAATCATATCTGCCTATTTAAATATCACATCTATGGCCAGGTGGCCATCTTTGAGGAAGGATCGGATGTTTCCTTCCTGGCTGGCTGAAGGAGGTTGAACTGGATGGGCTTTGGGTGGATCCTATAGGATCCTATAGGGATTGTGTTCTGCTTTGTGGTGGATAGGGGTTGGGCTGGATGCCCTTTGGGTTCCCCACCGGCGTGCTCACCCCATGGCCCAGGGCCCTGGTGAAGCCGTGTCCCATCTTGCCGGAGGTCTTGAAGATCTGGTGGGTGAAGTGCTGGGCAAAGAAGGCGAACATCAGGTTGGTGCCCTGAGGGGCCGGGCAGAAGGTCCGCCGGAGGAGGAGGCGCTCGGCCACCAGCTTCGGGTCCGGGAGCTGCGACGGCCCTGCAAGGGAGGGACAGATAGACGAGTGAATGGGTGGGATAGCCAGGTCCAGCCTTTGCCCATGACACAGTGGGAGGCACTCTTGTGGTCATACGCATGCAT